AAGCATTTCCTATCTCACCTTATTGGTGCCATTAAGGAAAATGCTCCTTTCTGCATTGCCATACAGGACGACGATTGTTCTTCTCCAAATGTAGATTTGTTTCTACCCTTCGCCTAAATGAACACTGGAGCTTGGATTCTCAGATCCTTTTCCTGGTCCTGAAAATATCGTCTTGAATGGTTTTTATGACTACAAGATCATAGAGAAGGTTCTCCCATCTCCCTGTCTTACATTGGGCTCTGAGGGTGAGCACGCACACGTGTGCATGTGTGCGCACACGCGCGTGCACACGGGGGGCCCACACACGTGTACACTCTTCCTTGTCCTTTCCAGGTCATTTCCTATATTCCCTTTATTTTCCTCCATCTTTGTTGCCATAATGTGGACCTAAAATGCATTTTTAATTATGTGTTAAATTTATTGAGTAAATGTTGGGGTTTCTCTCCATGTGTATATAATACACATGTGTGTGTGTGTTGTGTGTATTTCATATAATAGCTTTATTGCAATATAGTGGAATATAATCCACATACCGTAAAATCCCCCCTTTAAAGTGTTTTTGTATATTTTTATAAACAGGGAGGTGAGCCTTTTTTATTCCTTCCACCAAGACCTCTTCATTAAACTTTGTAAACTTTGTAAGTCAGGTTCCCTGGCCCTCACAAGGAAAAAACTTCCACTGGGGGGGGGGGTGAGACTGAAAAGTATTTCTTGATTTTTTTTTTTTTTCTTTTAGACCTCTTTCTTTACTACGTTTTGACTAAAGAGAATTGCTCCCTGTATGTTTTCAATATAAGGGTGGGGGGGAGGATTAATACGTTCTTTATTGTTAATAACTTCTTATGGCCAAAGAAAACCCAAGAATTCAAAAGTATTAGCTCAGAGTCCTTAGCCTAACAAAACCTTGCCCCCACTTCTACCCTCTTTTGTCTCCAATTGTAAATTCCCCTCTCAAGTATTCCTAATGCTTGATTCAAAATGCCGGGCAGAGAAAAGCTTCATGACTGCTGATACTTTCCTGTTGGCAAATCCAACCCTAGTCTCCCTTAATGCTGGCTCTTCCTTTGAATAATAGGAATAATCCTGTTTGTTCATTACCAATTCAACCCTTCGAGGGGAAATGCTGCACTGAAGATAGTGAATGATGATAAAGCCATTTACTGGCATTAGCCAGGATTACCGTCCGCCTCTCACACAATTATTGTTGCCTGGGCTTTGCTGGTGACATCTGGAGGCAGTCCTGGCAGTGCCCGCCCCAAGTGGTTAATAAGCAGGTGGATTTGTCATTCTTTCTTCTACAGTCTCAGGAATCTGATGGAAAGAAAAAAAACAAAGAATTTGGATTTGGATGTCTTTGAAGACCGCCCCCCGCCCCCCCCCCCCCCGGAAATTAAGGAATTAATGGTACTGGTTGGGGTTTTAGCAGGGCAAACTTGAACAGGCATGCCGAGTGTCTTGAATAGTAAGTAATACGTTCTGGTTAAATGCTTTGACCAAAGCAAGCCGACATTTTTCAGTCCTCCTGCCTTTGCAGGGCAGTTCTGTTGAGGATGGACCCTGTCTCTGGTCCGGCATAGTTCGCCCCTTCGCCGCCCCCCCCACCCCCGCCGCAGATAGGTTCTCCTACTTTTCTGTGCTTTTCTATACCCATGTGTGTCATCTCCCCAAAGTGAGGGCAGACTCTGGGGATGGTGAGCATAGAGGGAGTTGGCACTGGGACCTAGTCAAACACTGGAACCTCTTTCTACCTCCCTGGATCCCTTCCCTCCTTATGTGGCCAAGATTATAGCACTGTTTGTAATTGCAAACTGGAAACAACCTAAATGCCCATCAGTTGGGGACCGTTAAGTAAATGACTCAGCATCTCTCTGATGCAGTGATGGGAAGGTCACCAAGATGCATGGTTAATGGAAAAAGGAAGGAGCGGAAGGTTCTACCAGGTGTGTTAATAAAGGGGATAGGGCAGAATATATGCTCATATTTGCTTGGCTCAGTCAGTTAAGCTCCTGCCTTCAGCTCAGTTCATGATCCCAGGGTCCTGGGATCGAGCCCTGCATCGGGCTCCTTGCTCAGCAGGGAGCCTGCTTCTCCCTCTGCCTGCCGCCCCCCTGCTGGTGTGTGCTCCCTCTCTCTCTCTCTGACAAATAAATAAATAAAATATTAAAAAAAAAAAAAGAAGAATAAAATGCCTCTGGAAGGATACATAAGAAACGAGTAATGGGGTCGCCTGTGGTAAGAGAGATTGTGGCCAGGGGACGGGGCTGGAGGGAGACTCTGCTGTATTCCCTTTTATACATTTGGATTTTGAACTATTCGTATTTATTACTTATTCAGAAACATAAACCAAAAGCTCTGAGTACCACAGTTTTTTAAATGGTTTTTCTTTGACTATACAACCACTTTTTTTCATTAAACTAAATTTCTTCTTAAATTATATATGCTGAAGCTTTAAAAAAAAAAAAAAAATCAAACAGTCCCCAAGGGAATACAGTAAAAATGAAGTCTCTTTTCTATTCCTGAACCCTAGCCTCCCCCCAAGGCAGTTCCTACTGCTGGTTTCTCGAAATTCTTTTTGTTTTTTGCCTTTCAGTTTTATTGAGCTATGACTGACACCCAGCAGTGTACAAGTTTGTTGTTTTATTATAATGTTTTATTATTTATTGTTTTATTACAATGACCTGACTTGCCTATATATTGTGAAATAGTTACACACTTATAGAAACAGTAAGTTTGGAATATCCATCATCTCATACAGATACACACTCACAAAAAGAAAAAAAAAATGTGATTTTTTTTTTTTTTCCCCCTTGTGATGAGAACTTTTAGGACCTACTGTCTTGGTTTCTTGGAATTCCTTCCACTCTCCCTCCCCCTGCTGGGTGTGTGCTGATCCTGAGCTCAGAGTGGCCTCTCTTGTTTGTCCTACCAAAGCTATATCTGAAAATGCGAATCTAATTTTAGTGGCAACACCCTTTGGTGGGTGTTTTTGGAGACATGATACAGGGTGGAAACAGATCTGGCCTCAAATGACAGCTTACAGATCCTTGCTCCCTATCGTGTGGTCCTCATGCTCCCCCCTTAATCAGTTCCTTGCCCTGCAGTTAACGTGCCCAGCTCCTGTGTGGTTTGGAAATCTGGCTCTAATTTGGTCTTCGGAGGTTGAGAACAGATGATAATTCATAACCGGGGACTGTGTTTTCTGCACTTGCACCCATGCCAAGTACTTCCCGTGGCGCCATCAACTGTGTGGCCTGTTGTTAGGAACGCGTTAGGGGAATGGCCGTGGAGCATCTCGAAGCACCAGGCCCTTTGGAAGTCCTTGGTGTCCTAGGAGGTAGCTCAGGAATATGTTTGCAAATTGAAGGACCTGCATCCTCCAGCCCTGGCCAGGCCTGGAGAGACCCATGTGGATGCAGGGCCTGACTTGGGATAGCTTGAGGGCTACAGGCTTTGGGGGCCTGGGACCTCAGTTGGGTAGGGCGTGGCTGTGTGCCACATGGTATAACCGGATCAACATCCCACACCACTAGAACAGCACCAGAGTGTGGCCTGGTGCGTGCAGGCCGGTTCTGCCCCTGGCCTCCACGTAGCACCTCGGGCAGGATGGATTACAGCCCATAGGCTTCTGGAGTCTGTGGGCAAGCAGGAGCCTCCTGTTCTAGGATTTCGGGAGAGTCAGATATTCCTGGAATTCAAACAAAAGATCAAGTTAGCCCAGCAGAGCTGCCCATGTTGCAAAAATAGTGTATAGACAGATATCTAAGGACAGATGGCCTGCCATGCAGAGCCAAGAAGGGGAATAAAAGGAGCAGAAGTGACAATAAAAACACACATCAATAGCGAAGAATCGGAGCACTCGTGTCCCTCACCTAAAGCATTCTGATGGCCAAGAACCCCAGTGATAGAGAATAAAGAGGAAAACAGAGATTTGTCTCTGTCTGACACAGCGATGGACCTGCCAAAGCCACTGTCCCCAGCTTGGGTCCCGGTGGCCGGTCACGAGGCTTCCTCGAAGTGGCTCACAGCTGGATGACTGTGTGTTGGGCTGGAGCCACGGTGAGTCCATGAGCATGAGCAGTATGTCCCCTGCTGGTCACACCGGACCTCGGCCCCTCATTTGCACAAGAAGGACAGCAGTGACCTCCTCTACGTGATCTCACGGCTCTGACCGCCCAGGGACACAAGAGTAAAGCAGGGAAGGCCGGACCTGTGGCCTGCACCTGGGCTGGCCGCCATGCCTGTCTAACTTGGCTTCTGATGCGTTTTTTTTAATATTGCGGATTTCACGGGCAAATTGCAGTTGAGGTTTCTCACTTCTCTTTACCCCTGGGAAGAGCTAGCAACACGGGCCATCATTCCCACGTGGAGGCGGACGGTGGGGTGGGGTCCCTGCCTTCCCCCTTCTCCGCCCTGCGCATGGCTGGATATGCTCCATGTAGCCTGTCCTCTCCGTGCCTCTCCCCTCCCCCCACATAGTCTGGCATCCGTGCCATTCATACTGCCATTTTGGAGGACATCCTCCCTACACCCAGCCTCTGGGGCATTTGGGTTTGCATTACCACTGTCACCCCATCATACTTCCCTGCTCACCTGGGCCAGCTACACAGGAAGGAGCCCAAGGTCAATCTTCCCGTGGTCTGGGGTGAGGGCTTCTAATAGCAGGAGTCCTTGGTAACCCAGCTGTCCCGTTTGGAAGCAGATGGGGCAAGGCTCAGGGCCAGGCCTCAGATCTGCTCTCTGGATATTCCAAGAAGGGGAGGAGGCCAGTCGAGGGAGCTGCAGTGAGACTGGGGGACAGGGAACACGGCCTGGGCAGTCGCAGTGCATCCCTGGTCCTCAGGTGCCTAGGAAGGGAGGTGGTGGGTGCGGAGCCCTGCAGTGGGAGCCCTGCACCTTGCACTTCTGTGAGGGAGGGAGGGAGGCCTTGGGCCAGGCGCCTCAAGAGCTTTCTGGGGGAGGTTTCGTGGCTGTCCAGTGAGTCTGGGCTTGGCACCTTTCAGGGAAATTGAAAGAATGGAGCCTCATCTTGTACGGCACCGCCGAGCACCCTTACAACACCTTCAGCTCCCATCAGTCACGCTCTCGGATGCTGGAGCTCTCGGCCCCCATGCTGGAGCCCCCCAAGGCTGCTCTGTCACCGCCCCAGACCGAGGTTCCTGAGGACGAAGAGGACTACACAGGTAATGAACTTGTCGCCAGAGGAGATGGCCAGGCCAGCCTCTGAGTTTTGGTTTCCCACTGCGGCTCTTAAAATGTGGGATCGCTCCTGGCAAAAGATGGGGATTATGACAGTGGGTCTGCCTTCTTTCCTGGAAGTTGTAATAATGATGGTAATTTGCACTCACACAGCTCCTTCCACCCACGGCTCTCCTAATATTTTACAGACCAGTAAGTATACTTCAAACCAGTAAGTATTCTCCAACCTTCCCAGGCTGGGAAACAGAAGGTTCCATATGCCCAACCAGAACTGGGACTTGCCCCCTGGCTAATGAGCCTTCTCCTGAGGCCCCGTCTTATCCTCAAAATCTCTCGTCTCATGTCTCAGGCTCCCGACCCTCTCAAGTCCATCCACTTTCTGTCCCTACAGCCAGAAGGTGGGAAGGATGTGGGTCCTAATGGACCCGGGAGGGTTGGGTTGAATGAACATAGCCAGGAAAGGAGCAAGCAGTGGAGGTCTTGACCGCCCTTGAAGGCTGGGACGATGGCCCAGGAGAAGGTCTCAGGACCTTACGTCAGTAGATAATGATGTCACCACGAACAGGTTAAGCATCTAACAGGAAATAAAGATGCCTTGTGGGAACCCCTCTTCTCCATTGTCAGCGGGGGCCCCGGCTCTAGACCTCCAACCCCCTTCCTAGAGACAGCAGCCTGGGGAAGAAGGGCTTCAGACATTTCCAGCCACTGGGCCGGGCACAGTTGTAATTAGCATGTTAGGTCCCTTTCCCTCTGAACCATCCCACGGTGATTTGTGAGAAACCGAGTGTTTCTGGTTGGGCATATTTCCCTGAGCTAAATATTACAGCTGCTTGATAAATGATGGGTGATATCTAAGGATATTGATGTTTGAGTTATCTAATAGCTTCTGAAAAAAGAAAAGTAACAAAACAGAGAATTCCACTGATACATATCGAGCATAAATTATGGTTGATTCAATTTTAAATTTCTTCTCCCGTTCCTTTAAAATGGAGCATTGAATTATGGATGGACTAATCCGCTCTGTTTCCCCCTGTGGTTTATAAGTGGTGGCAAGATTCAGTAATTATTAATAAAGGTCTGATTTTTTTTTTTTTCTTAAAATCTGCTACTGACTCTAAACTTATACTATCCTGGAATCTCACAAAGAGACTGCCCTGCAGCCCAAGTGACTTAGTCTTGCCCAAGCCCAGCCTAGATGGATAGAGGGTGTCTCCGTGGGAAGAGGATGTGTTCCTGACTCTCAGGGAAGGTCCCTACAGTCTTGGGGCAAGTGGGACAGGCAGACCAGTCACAGCAGGAAGAGCCAGAGACAGGGAAAGAGTGGGAGAGGAGTGAGATCAGGAGGGTGCTGTGGTGTGGAGGGCGGTGGGAGAGAAGAGGAGGAGGAGGAGGAGAAGAAGGAGAAGGGTGAGGGGGGTGTGGGGGGAGGAAGAGGGAGCAGCCATGTTAGATAACACGGTCAAGGGCTTGTGGGATGGGGCTGCTCGTCCATGGCTCTCATGGAAGCTCAGTCACAGATAAGCCCCCGTACGGAAGCTCAGGGAAAGAGGGTGATTTTGAAGTGGCCCCATGATTATTAGCTTTCTGCAGTTTTAGCAGAGGTAAGGCGGGTTGAAGCAGGAGTGGTCGCATGGGGGAGAAGGTTCTCAAGAATTCTGAGAGCTGACCACGGACATAGAGGTGCATGGGGATGATGACCACAGCCTGGTGGTACCCCACCAAGGGCCTGTGCATGGTGAAGGGGTAGGGGAGTCTGACGCAGCTGTGGTCCCAGGAGACAGCAACAGGGGGCGTAGACAGCACTGCACCGGGGGCAGAGATGGGGGGCCAGAGCTCCAGGGGACAAGAGGTAAAGGGGAGGAGGGGAGCAAGGGGCAAAGACAGACTCCCGTGTGAAATGTCTGGGGCCTCACAAGAGCTAGCAGGAGAACCGTCCTGGGAAAGGGTGATGCAGACAGGCCGAGGTCAAATTCTCAGCCAACATTGCCCCTGGGAACAGGGACAGAGGAGGTGGCCACAGGTTACTTCCCCAGGGCCATGGCAAGTGGAAATCCACGGTAGTGGTGGAGTCTGTGGTTCCTGAGGTCAACGAAGGTGTGGAAATCCAACTGAGGGGGTAGGGCTGGGAGATCGGGAGGCTGGGGCGTCCAGCAGGAAGGTAGGGCAGTAGCCGCGTGGCTGGGTAAGGTGCCAGGGAAACGTGAGTGGCTGAGGTGCTGAAGATGGAGAGCCTGTGGTGACGGCCTGCCTGCTGGGACACGAGCTGGAGGCCACTGGAGAGCACCAGGCATGGCAGTGAGTGAGGCCACCCCAGTGACCCACCTCAGATGCTTGGTTGAAGAGCCCCACCCCAGAGGCAGATTCAGCCGGTCTGGGGGTGCTTGGAGGCTGTGCTAGGTGATTCCAGGTAGTGGGGCTGGGGAGCTAGGATGGTGGCAGGCCCCGGGGAGGTGCTTAGGCTACTCCAGGAGAGTGGCCTCGAGGGAAGGACAGAAGGTCACAAGGATGAAGGGAAGCCCAAGCTTCAGGAAGGGAGGGTGCGTGGGCTGAGGACGGCTCAGGACAGTGTAGTCAGCCACACAGAACTGAGGGGAGCCAGGAGCCCCCAAAGCCTTGGCCTGGACATGTTCCAGGACAGCTCAATGGGCCCAGGGGAGTTGATACACAGGACACGTGCCATGTCCAGTGCAGGACTGCGTCGGGTGACAGACTTAGGGCCCGTCAGCGCCTACCTGGCAGAGCCGAGGCCCGGGTCCCAAGCTGTCAGGAGGGAAGACCAGACCTGCAGTGAAAGGGGTCTGTTAGTCTCGTCCGCACTCCTGTCTGCGGTCGGCCACCTCTGTCCCTGCATTCCGCCTCATGTCCAGTGGTTTGCCGGTGAGGTTCTAGCATGCTTTTCCTGGACAACATGAACGGCAGGGGAAAGATGGAGATACTTAGCAAGTCTTCCCGTTCCTCCAGATTCTGGTCTAAGCACCACCTGATGACAAAGGCCTTCTGGAACTCCCAGGTGGCTTTCTAACATTTTTTGTGGGGCTTTTTGATGCCTTGGATTTCCTTCACAAAAGATTTAAGGTAGAGATTTCAAATGAGCCCATATCATTCTAACGCCCTGTAGATGGGAGTCCGTGGCTCATCAGTGCATGAGTCACACTCCCCTTGTATCCGGAGCCTTGGGGTTATATGCTCCCCCAGGCAATGTGCTGCTCCACTCTGAAAGAAGCACGTGCAATCTTAGGAGTGATGGAGTGAGTGGGATAAGACAGCCAGCCAAGTAGATTGAATCTACGAACACTTCCTCGAGAGGTGAATCTCGATACTGGGCTTTTTGAGACAACTCAAGTAGACAGCCATACTAGAGGGTGCTTATCGATACTCATCCAAGCGTCCTGCCTTGGGCAGTGTCTTACCAAGCTGTTCACTGGGGGCTGCACGTGGCTGGTTAGCTAGACGCCCGGTTGGGTTTTGCTGCCTTCACTGTTGGGTGGACCCCATCCTTGCACGGGGCTCCCTTTGGGTTATTAACTAACCTCTCCGCCACAGAGAGGCCCTGGGAGGGAGCAAGAGGGTGAAGTCCAGTCCACACAGCATGAACCAGGCCTTCCCCAAGGCTATCCCTCTCTTGGGACATCATAGAACTTTCTGTTTGTGGATGTTTCCCAATTTCCACCCACTCTTCTTTCATCCGTTCTCTCACCCTTGAGCCACTCAGCAAATGTTTATTGGGTATCTGCCCTATGCCAAATGCCTTTCTAGGTGCTGAATATAGCAATAAACACCCTAGTCCAGATCCCGCCTCCTGCAGCTCCTGTCTCCCATGTCAGGAAAGAGTGGGGAAATTGTCCTCTCTCCTCCCTGTCCCCCCCAAAATGTCCTTAAGACTGAAGAAATTGTTTACTTTATCAAACAAGACAGACCTGCTGCTTCTCTTAGATTTCTGGGGGAGAGATCACTATGGAAGGCAGTGGTCCTTAAGGTGATGTATCCTCGGGGCCACTGCAGGAGGGGCTGGGTGGGAAGGTCAGAGCCCAGTAGTCCAAATCCTCTGTGTCTTCAGCGCAGTGGGTCATTAAAAACAATGTGGCAGGCAGCAAGGCTTTCTGAGGCTGTCCCCCATAGATGGCCCGGAATAAGGCGGACAAGAATCAAATCAAATGAGAATTGACTGCAAAATAGCCCAACAGTCTGGAGCTGGGGAAGGGGGTGGGGGTGAGGGGAGGCTCAGTGATAAGCTTTGGGCCCGTCAGGCCGAGTGCTAGCACTCAGACTGGAGGCACGGACTCCAGAGCCCTCCCCAGCCCAGCCCAGCCCAGCGCAGCGCGCTCCCCGGGACGAACGCAGCCTTGAAAGGGGTTCACAGTGGGACCCACAATGAAAACTTTGGAAATATCAACAACAGTAAACCTTCGGGGAGGGAAGCAAAATAAACCGGGTCTAACACTAGGAAGGTCTGCAGGCCCTTTAAGGACGAATGAAGAGGGCTTTGTGCACCTCAGCAAAGACCCATTGTGGGCAGCAGAGAATGGGGACTTTTGTCTCTGCCTACATCCCCATGAAATGCTGGTGGCCAGCAAATCACCTCTTCTTTGCTTCTGAACTCGCTCCCCACCCCTTCCAACAACTCAAACCTTACAGAAGGCTTTTTTCTTCTAAAGACTCAAAAGCCCTCATAATACCCCGCTGGGCTCCCCCCACCCCAACATGGGGAGGTTTTCTGGAGCCATTGCCCAGAGCGGGAGGAACAGGGTCAGGGGTAAGGCAGGCGGAGGGTCCCACCGCAGTGCTTGTTCTTCTTCGGCACGCTGTGGTCACGTTCTTGAGGCCAGGTGAACGGGACACCTGTGGCCCTGCCCCACCCGGGCCTGAGAGCACTAGACATTTCCTGATGGGCCCATCCGTGTGGCACCCCCGCAGGGCAGCCCCGCAAGAGTGAGGCTTGCTGGAGGCCGCCGAGCTCCCCGCATTTCTCTCCACCGCAGGCCCCAGAGTCAGAATGTGGGGATTGCGGGGGACTTGGGGGAAGATGGGGTGGCCCACAGCAGAGGCCGCGAGGGAAGGAAGCTGCAAAGGTTTGCAGAAAAGGGCCCATCCCGTCCCCACTGAGAGATAGCCGCACCCCGTGGTGCTGAGCTTGCAAATCCATCCTGTTCCCCCTCCCCCCCCCCCCACTGCACGTAGGGAATCCTCTTCTCCACCTTTCCTGCTGAATTCCTGTCGGATCATCACTGCCTAGCAGCAGCTTCCCTCATGCCCTTGACACCTCATACTGCGTTGTTTTGTCCTTCATGCTGGGAATCAGGAGCGATGGCCAGTCCCGGGATCACGACCCCTTCCTCAGGGCAATGCCCTGAGGAAGGGTGTTCTCGGCCTCTCTCCTGCCATCGCACGCTGCTCGTCTCGTGCATGTGGGTCCCCACCTACCTTGGGCTCTTTTCCTCTTCCTCGGGCTGCCATCTGAGTCATCAGACCCTCTGACGCTGGAGCCCGGGGCCAGGCTCAGCTCTCAGCGCAGCCAAATTGCCGTGGGGGCGGACGCTCCGTCCAGCCCCGGCAGCCCCACCACTCTCTCGGGAAGCTCCTCTGGCCCCTAACACAGGCTCTTAGGGCACTGAAGTGGGTTGACAAAGCATCTCTATGGGTGAAAGGAAATGCTTGTTTCTTTAAGGTCTGTGCCATCCGGAGTGTGGAGACAAGGGCTGTGATGGACCCAAAGCAGACCAATGCTTGAACTGTGTCCACTTCAGCTTGGGGAGCGTGAAGACCAGCAGGTAACGGGCTGCGGCTTCCGATCGCGTGTCCTGGAGCCCCTCAGAGGACCAGCAAGGTGACCTGTTCCTGGCTGTGTGCTTAGCACCCCCGCAGCCTGGTGCCCTACTTATGAAGTCATGTCATACCCCTCCCAAAAAAAGGAGATTCCACTGAGATTAACTATTTGGGAATTGTGTAAGTTTTAGTAACTTCTCGTCCTCATCACACAAGTAATTCACGCCCACGACAGAGAAATCGGAGGTGGTATCTGTGCTCCGAAACTGTCTTCTAGCCATTTTGTTAAACAGAAATGGGTCAGACTGCGTAGGCCAAGGCTGACCGCTTGGGAACTAGAGACAGATGTCATTTTAGAGGCCGGTGCTGTTCTAAAAGCCCCACGGGCCAGGCCTGGGGAGCTCCCACCCCCGAGTGTCCAGTCAGCCGTGCGGCCACGCGGGGCTACGGGCGTGACTCTTGTGGGGTCCCCGAGCTCCCAGACACAGCCACACTCACCCTGCGCCGTGCAAAGGCAGTCGGCCTGCTTGCTGCCTTTACTCGCTGTCCTCGAGACTAGCTCCCCAAGGGCACCAGCGGTGAGGTTACAGCAGAGCTACGAATTCCAAAAGTCAAATACCATCATCCAGGTGCCCTGGAGCGCCCCCTCTGGGGAGACTTGGAAAGGCAAGCAAGCTCGGTTCTTACCCAAGTCCCGGCCGTCTCCGCTGTACTTAGGAACCTCTCAGCTGTGCTCACCAAGTCCACGGGCATACATGGTTTAACCTTCACCCCGGGGCCTTTGTTCCCCTCTGAGTTTTGCTGACTTAGGGGGCGGAGGGACAGCTAGAATTTCCTCTCCAGCTAGGTGCCCTGCCTTAGCAGGACCCAGCAGTGCTGCAGGCTTCCAGGGTGGTGGCGGGGCGGGCTTGGAAAGGTCCTCTGTGGCTCCTGATCCCACAGGAAGTGTGTGAGCGTGTGCCCCCTGGGCTACTTTGGGGACACAGCAGCAAGACGCTGTCGCCGGTGCTACAAGGGGTGTGAGACCTGCTCGGGCAGGAGCCCGATCCAGTGCCTGTCCTGCCGCCGTGGGTTCTATCACCATCAGGAGATGAACACCTGTGTGACATTCTGTCCTGCTGGATTTTATGCTGATGAAAGTAAGTGCATGTCTGTGTGCCCAGGAATGATGAGTCAGCCCCCCTCTCTGGGCTGGGGTCCCTTCTCCTGGGAGAATTTCCCCAGGGAATCTGGCACCAGCTTATGGACCTGGTAGTCAACATTGGGAGAAAGCCCTTCCTAGCAAGCACTGCGGAGCTGAAACCGGGATTCAAGTATGGGCAGAAGGTTTTCAGTCCTTTAAAGACAAAGAGGAGCCTCTGGGCCAGTGTTAATTGGGCTCAGAAAAGATGGGCTAGTCTTTGTGGCACATTTTACAGGTAGTGACCACACCCCTAAGATGTGGGTGATGCTTTCCTGGCCTTGCAGATGAGAAAACGAAGCTGAGAGGCGGCACAAAGCCCATAGCTAGTAACGGCACAGGTGGGACTTGAACTCAGAGCCGCAAAACCAGGGGTCCGGCCGTTCCACCAGGCCCAGGAAGGTGGGTGGATGGGGGGATGGCTCTGGGACTCAGGACCCCAAGCCAGGGTTTCACCAACGCACCTCGCCCCAGAAGAGGCAAAAGACAGGGTCTGGGTTAAACAGATGGAGGATAGTTCTCAAGTTCAAAGAAGCTACCGTTTTGACGTTGGCGATTTGTGTAGGTCAAAGCCTTCCCACAGAGGCCCTTGCTATGCAGGAGGGATCATTGATCCAGCCTGTGATGGCATTACAGTTCTTCCTGTGGAGAAGGAGCCAGGAAATCTTTAAAGACACATAAAGCCACCGAAGAACCAGAATCTCTTTAGAGGAAAAACCCATTATCTTGCAAGATGCATTTCACTTCCTTTGCAAACACCTGCCCTGGGCTACCAGCCAGGCCTGTTTTCCTGGTGGAGTTTCCTTCATCTCCACCCTGCTTCCAAAGCAAGAATCAGCCACCCTCACTGATCCAGCATCCTCCCTGAACAGCTGCTGCCTGTGTGTAAGGCCACCTATGGGGCCCAGAGGAGGAGGCACGGAGGTGTAGCAAATAGCCCTGAGCTTCCAGGCCCAGACGCAAGGTGGCGATGATGAGGTGCCAGAAGGAAAGACCAGATAAGAACAGGCAAACGCTCGCGGGGTTGTGACCCAGCATTTCCCCAGGAGGTGTGATGGGCGTCCTAGATTTATGTCTCAGTCTTTGTAACTACCAAGTCTTCAATAAGGTCCCCTATGAAGGCACCAGTGGGCAGCTCTGAGGCCTTTGTAGGCTCCAACCCTGTCACTTTTTTTTTATATATATATAAAGACTTACACCTGATTAATCTCTGCTCAGTCAGCCAGGAATTGGTTTCAGTCCTGGTTGAAACAAACAGAAGCAGAGCGTGTCTCCTCTGGAAAGGGTCCCCCCTCCAAAGCCTCAAGGTTGTGTAAGGGCTTTCATTTACTCCCGAAAGGAGAGGAGAGAGACCTGTGATCCCACACGTGGGCCTGCGGTCTGGACGTGGCCTCTGGCTATTTGATCACTCTATCATCCCTCCTGGAGGCTGACACCAGTGACGAGCTGTTCTATCAACCCCGCTTTGAAATGCCAGAGTCTTCTTTGCCCAGGATTGAGTCACATCTCCTCTTCTCCTTCCTCTTCTCCTCATCTTCTTTTTCTCCAGGTCAGAAAAATTGCCTTAAATGCCACCCAAGCTGTAAAAAGTGCGTTGATGAACCAGAAAAATGTACTGTTTGTAAAGAAGGATTCAGGTAAAACCCTCCCTTCAGACCTGAAGAACGGCAGAGCATTTGTGCTTTTTTGTTGTTTGTTTCTGTCATTGGTTTACCAAGTTTTGGCAACTTTTTCCTAAAAGGTAAAAGCAGAGGCCCAAAGCCCTTCAGGGTAAAGATTCTGAGTCTAGAAACCACAGTTCCACTTGGAGATTGATGTTTAAAACAGAAAGTTAGGGGGCCCCTGGGTGGCTCAGTCGGTTAAGCGTCTGCCTTCAGCTCAGGTCATGACCCCAGGGTCCTGGGATCGAGCCCCGCATCGGGCTCCCTGCTCAGTGGGGAGTCTGCTTCTCCCTATTCCTCTGACCCTCTGCCTGCTTGTGTTCCCTCTCTTTCTCTCTCCAAATAAATAAGTAAAAATCTTTAAAATAAAATAGAAAGTTAGGGGAAAGGTAAAATCTCTCCCTTTTATGCAGTACTTGGGGAACTAGTGAAAACAGTAATCAGCCCTACCATGTAAAGCAGAGTGGCTGCTGGGAAGGTGAGGATTCTAACAGAGCTCCCGCTTTCAGGCACCAGGAAGGGCATCCACTCCCGTGCCCCTCCCATTGCAGGAGGCATTGCGAAGCCCACCCTCCCTCTCTAGTCTCTGCCTTCTCTTTTTTCCCAGCTCCGGAATCTCCTTCCCTGCTCTGGAAGCTTGCTTCCTGGGGTTGCTTTTTAGATACCTGGATTTCCCTCTCCCCACAAGCTCAGGACACGTCTGCTTTAAAAACATTTTACTGGGTTAATGATTTTTATTGGAATATTTTGAAATGTTTGTTTAGCCCATTGAACACAACCAAATTGCATTGAATGCAACCCAATAAACATTACGTGTTCCTCCAAGTTACTGTCTAGAGCTTAGAAAACATTCTATTCAAAACCATGCTATGAACACTCCCATAGTCCATGGACTAGAACCAGGGTCCGCATGTTAAGGAAGAAAGGGAAGGGTCCTTGAGAGAGATGCCTCCCCCCTGCAGTGTGTGCACGGAATTACCAGGGCTCCTGTTCAAATGCAGATTCTGGTCTAGCCGGCTTGGAGCAGAGCCCACTGCTCTACATTTCTAACAGGCTCCCAGATGATGAGGATGCTGCCAGGACTGAAATTCACCAGTAGAGTTGAATGTTTTTGGAGTAGGTACTGATGAGAACAATTTTACAAGCCCTTCTTCCAGATGCTTGTAAATAGTGCCTCATTTAAATCTTCACAGCAGGGCGCCTGGGTGGCTCAGTCATTAAGCATTTGCCTTCGGCTCAGGTCATGATCCCAGGGTCCTGGGATCAAGCCCCGCACTGGGATGGAGCCCCACATCGGGCTCCCTGCTCGGCAGGAAGCCTGCTTCTCCCTCTCCACTCCCCCTGCTTGTGTTCCCTCTCTCGCTGTGTCTCTCTCTGTCAAATAAATAAATAAAATCTTTAAAAAAAAAAATAAATCTTCACAGCAACCTAGGACATAGATATTATTTTTTTTTAAGATTTTATTTATTTGAGAGAGAGAGTGTGTGTGTGTGTGAGTAGGGGGAGAGGCAGAGGGAGAAGCAGGCGTGACGTGGGACTCGATCCCAAGACCCTGAGATCAGGACCTGAGCCGAAGGCAGACGCTTAGCCAACTGAGCCACCCAGGCGCCCCTAGGATATTGATAATATTACTCCCATTTTACTCACTGGGGAGAGAAACTGTTTGCCCAGGAAGTGCGACGACGCTGCCTTCGTGAGGTCCCCCTTAGCCTGCCCTTACTCTTCCAGATCAGGGAGAGGAGAGAAGCGGGTCCCCGGCCCAAGCTCCCGGGAGTCTGGGGAGAGGCAAGGGAAGCAGGACTCCCAGAGTCACACATCACGCCCGTGGTCCTGTAAACCTGTTGGCTGGACAAGGCAGGATTAACAGTGGAAGGATGAAGTGGTCAAGGAAGGAGGTCCCCAAAGGGGAAAGGTGGCATTGAGCTGGGGGCCACAGCTGGGGGCCCCGAACAGGCACCTCCCACCTGGGCTCCCAAACCCCAGGCAGGTGTCAGCGGTTGGGAGGAGGCAGGGGAAAGGCTCTGTGGGTCCAACTCACTGGAACTTGTTTCCTGCCTTGGGAGCACTGGGGGAGTCCCAGGGAGCTGGTTTCTGGGTCCTGTGAGTCCCGTGGGAGAGAGGAGGTCAGCTGCTCAGGGCAGGAATAGGGTCACGTACAGAAAATGCCCACCAAGGAGGAGCCACCCAGATGGAAGCAGCGGTTCCAGGCACCACAAGCATGCAGAGAGGCACGCAAACTCGGAAAACATCGTCAGCCATAATCCACAGAAAGCTTCCTTTTATTGCCCAATATCCTTTTAAGCTGTAGCTTCAAACCATCGCTGTCACGTTAAAGCGGTGCGAGCGGCCGAGCTGCTGACTCGCAGCCATCCATCTCTTTAGGGGATAAATGCTGCAGAGGGTTCGAGGGGAAACATCAGTTACTAAAGACTGGATTTAACCGCCAGTCTCGGTGGCCCCGGAGCCCCGAGCCGGCATCCGCCATGGATGCGGAGAGGCTTCCAGACCCCCTGACACCTCCCCACGAAACGCAGGATTCTCTGGATCTCGCAAACACGCCAGAGCACTTGTCCCCCGTGCCTGGTGGCAGACAGCTTAGGACATGTGCATCAAACGCAGTGTAATCTTGCGAACTGAAGAAATCCTTGTGGCAGACACACTACCGTGTGCCAGATGACCATTGCAGGGTTTCACGAGTCTTTGCTCATTTAGTCCTCAAAACAAGCCTTCCGATGCGGGAGCCATGCTTGTCCCAGTGCACGGGAGAGGAGACAGGTGAGGGGACAGCCCATGCTGGCTTACCCGGGGTCGGGGCGGCACAGCTAGGAAGTGGCCAAGGCAGGATCCCGGAATGGGCGGTCCAGCTCCAGAGAGGATTCCAGAATCCACACACTCGTAAGTTCTGCTGCATCGTGAGCAAGGTGAAGTAGGCACCCACGGGGTGAGACAGGAAGGAAGGAACGGTATCAGGCGGGACCCGTCAGGTCCCAGGAGCGGACGTGATTTCCAGTTCGTCGTGAGGTACCGAAGGTTTCAAGCAGGGTAGAGTCAGGCATGGATCGGGCTTTTCGGACCTGTCTGGCCACCACCACCCCCATTCACACGTCATCAGTGCTCACACTTCGTGGAGGGCCGGGACTGAGCCAGCCTGCCTCCAGGGGTGACCCACACAAGCTCACTTTCTCCTCTCGGGGTTTGGCTTCCAGTTTGGTTCATGTCGGTAAAGAGAAGCCAGCACAGACCAAGAGAGAGCCTGAGCCAAGAGAGAGCCCGAGGATTCGGCCCCGGGGATTTGGGGATGGAGCCTGGGGCTTCTGGGTCCGGGGCATCCCTTCCTGCTGGGCCTCGAGCTGGCTTAGGACCCCTCTTTCCCTGCTTTCGTTAGCTTGGAACCTCAAGCGACACAAAGAGCCGTGCTTTAGCAACTTCCCTTCCCTCTCATGAAAGGCGATTGAGAGCAGATCGTAATTTCATTAGAATTTTGGAAGGGATATGAAAACAAGCTTTCTTTTTTTTTCTTTTCAACAGCCTTGCACGGGGCAACTGCATTCCAGACTGTGAACCAGGCACCTACTTTGATTCTGAGCTAATCAAATGTGGGGAATGCCATCACACCTGCCAAACCTGTGTGGGTGAGTTCATCACGTGCAGGGGCCTTGCTCTCATTATGCCCGATGGTTGGAACCTGGGTCACTGACTCTGGGCGAACTGTCTCAAAGCCAGGAAGACCCCAAGACTCCCTGGGCTTCGCTGGGTATTGCAACATTCAATCACAGGGGCCCTTCCAGGCCACCAGAGTGGGGGAAGGGGGAAGGGGGAAATTAGTGTTTATTTTTTTTAATTTTTTGAAAGATTTTATTTATTTATTTGAGAGAGAGAGAATGAGAGAGAGAGAGAGCACATGAGAGGGGGAGGATCAGAGGGAGAAGCAGACTCCCCGCCGAGCAGGGAGCCTGATGTGGGACTCGATCCAGGGACTCCAGGATCATGTCCTGAGCCGAAGGCAGTCGCTTAACCAACTGAGCCACCCAGGCGCCCCGGAAATTAGTGTTTAATGGGGACAGAGTTTCAGTTGGGCGGGGAGATGAAAAAGTTCCGGAGATGGATGGTGGTGATGGACAGCTTCATGCCAGTGCAGATGTATTTCATGCCACTGAACCGTACCCTTAAAAATGGTTGCTACGGTAAATTTGATGTTCTGTTCCTTTCCTCACAATTTTAAAAATTCAAAATAAAGAAAACCCATAAGACCTCACTTTGAATGAGCCAGCCTGGGTTTCCCCGGCATGAGAAGCCCAGCCAGGCGGCGGATGCTCTGGGGGCCGCGGAGGGAAGCGAACCGCTCAGGAGCTGCTTTCGCCTGGAGCTCAGCCCTCCCCGCAGAAAGGCAAGAATATAAAGCTTCCGAGAGGTGGGGGCAGATTCCGGTGGTGAAGCCAAGGAGGCTCTCTAAAAAACATAGCCTTCCTTCTTTGTACCTAGCTTCCCTTATTTTGAACACTTTATTCAAAGAGGAAAAGGCTTCTATAAACGGTTTTATGTGTATTGTAATTCCCCACAAAGATGATAGCACAGATGTCTCCCAGGCACTGTTTTTATGCAGAAGAGCAGAGAATGTGCTCGTTTTATGGGGTTTCCTGTTGCAGAGTTATTTGCGCTAGATGTTGAAGTGCATCATGAGTTTTGTGGGCTCGGATACACTACAGGTTAAGTCTTCTCCTCCTGACCCTCACGTGAGCCCCATGTGGGCATCAGCTGTGCTTTCCAGGTGTGGACAGGAAGCGAGGCTGTGGCCAGGGCCGGCACCCCAGAAGCCTGCAGGGGATGTGCATTCCTGGGACACCCTTCCTGGGACAACCCCATAGTAGCGGGAGCTCAGCATTTGGAAGCGTTCTCCACCCCTGGCAGTTGAGCTGTTTTTCCTAGCCATTTGCCCCCTTATTTTTTTGCTCTCATTCTTATTCTTTGTTTTCTTTGTCCCCTTGTTTAGCCCAGGTTGATTAAGGAGCATCGCCGATGTCACTTATTTAAATTTCAGAGTCACCGTATCCATGAAATTCAGAAATGTGCCTTTACACCGCTTTTGGTTTCAATAATTCAATTTACTTTTCTTTCTCCGCGGCCCCAGGCTGCCTGTTGGCAAACAGCTTTATAGAGATGCTCCTAGTTTCTCTTATCTCAACCCAGTGACTTTTCTGTCACTTCAGGCATTTAATTCAAGGGCGTGCGGGGCTGGGCTGTCTGGGGGGGATGGGGGGTGTCTCCCTTCCTCCATGTGCCCGCCTGCCTGGCTTCCTTCTGAGCTCCTGACATGCACGCATCCACTCCCTGGCAGCTTCCTCGGGAGAGGACCGACTTCTCTGCTCTGAGTTGCCTGGAGGTTTTTTGCTCCATGTCAGATGTGAGTCTGCGTCAGAAGCTGCTGTTCTTAGCTGTCAGCTCCCCAGCCCCTGGAAGCCCCAGGCCCACCCACCTAGCCTTCCCTTCCCTGCCCCAACTCAGTGATCACTGCTGCCCATCACCGATACAGGGGTATGGTCATGGGCAGGGTGGTGGTCGGGGACAAGTGCAGGGTGGGACATGGTGGCATCTGTCTCCACCCAGGGCTGGCAGTGCCCCAGGGCATTTGGACAAGCCTCTTGCCTATCCTGGTCCAGATACCCAAAGTCCTGGTATAGAGGATGTGACCCCTTGGGGTTGCTTGACAGCTGTGGGTTGCTGTAGAGGACCCGTGGGACGGGGAGGTGCCTGGCTCAACTTGTCCCCAGCTGGGGCATGGCACACTGGTCAGGACTGTGCAGCTGGTAAAGTATATGCATGACGAGTTGAGTGGTGGTGACCCAGGTCTGTGTGAGGGTCAGCCCTCGCCCATGGGCATCCCTTCCTCAGGTCTCTGCCCAAGGGAGAAGGGCATGAAATAGCAGATAAAAGCTCCAAGACAGCTGGAGAGAGAGATTGCAGAAGCAAGGAAAGCACATTATATGTTAGTACCCTTAATAGCACATTTTTCCTGCATTTGGAACAAGGACCTCACGTGTTCACTTTGTAGTAGGCCTCACAAATGATGTATTGGGTCCCGAGTAAGCAAACCCCATTTTGCTCTTAGTGTTAGGATCTGTGGATGCTTTGCAAGTATCTGAAGCCTGTAAAGACTTGTGACTTAATAGAATCCTTAAGAGACTTTGGGTTCTCAAGTTCATAGATTGTGGTAATTGTGAAAATAGTTGGTCCTGAAAATTTGTGTTTAATCAGCTTTTTTTGTTGCGGCAAAATATCCCTATCATCATTTTGCCATCTTAACTGTTTTTAAGTGTACATTTCAGTGGCATTAAGTCATTCACATTGTACCTCACCACCATCCGTTTCCAGAATTTTCTCCTCTTCCCCAGCTGAATGTGCTTCGTCCACTTTCAAGTTTAGTAAATTGAACTTTTAAAAATAAATACAATTGACCCTTGAACGACGTGGGTTTGACTGCGCGGGTCCACTTAGACATTGATTTTTTTCAGTAAATACAGTAGAGTAAATGTATTTTCTTTTCCTTATGATTTTCTTAACCATTTTCTTTTCTCTAGCTGACTCTATTCTAAGAATGCAGTATATAATACGTATAACACACAATATGTGGTAATTGACTGTTTATGTTATCAGAAAGGCTTCTAGCCAACAGTAGGCTCTTAGTAGTTAAGTTTTGGGGGAATTCAAAGTCATATGCAGATTTTTGACATCACAAGGGGTTGGGGCCCCAACCCGTGTTGGTCAAGGGTCAACCATACAAACACAAACGGGGGTTCTTTCCCACCACAGAAGCTCTTTAGGCATTAAGGACCCTAGTGACCGAGGCAGGAGAATGTGGGTAACAGGGTTCAGCAGGGGAGGCCCCCAGCAGGGACAGCCACAGAGACCCCGTAGCTCCTGAGGCCCTGGGCTTCCAAGGGCCAAGGGGCCAATGCCGAATGCTCCCTGGAGATAAATGATGGGGGTGGGGGGTGGCCAAAGCACAGGAGCAGTCTTCCATCTACAATGACATAACATAACTGGACAGAAACCCTACGCGTTTGTGGGGCATTGCGGTGAACGAAGGGGGACATCCCACATGGGCACTATGGGTGGGTAGGCAGTTGTTCATTATGGAGGCCCTTGACCCCTAAGGGTTCCTGCTTCTGCATCCCACTCACAATGCTGGATGAGCTCAGAATTCCCTTTCAGGCCTAAAGTTGTGGTTCTGAGAGATGAAACCAGCTGCCAGAGCACTGAGCCTTGGGGCTGGTGGGACCACCCTGCAGACCCCTGTCTGTAAGGGGGTTTTCCCTTGACATAGCCAAGAGGCCCCTTCTAAGTCCAGAAGCTACTCCAGGAAAAGAGCCCAAGATCACTGCCTTAGCTGCCAGGCCTCAACCAAAGACCGCAGTGGAATTAAAGGAAGAAGTTTAACAAGGGTCTGTGGTCACCATACGCATCTAAGATGACTTCTTCCCCATGTTCAACCCCCTAAGCTATCAGCCAGTGGCCACCTTGCTGTCTCTGACACCCCATCAGGTGCTTCTCAGTGACATTTGGCAGAGTAGACTCCTGTGCGTACTGCTTGTTAAGTGAGTGAATGAACAAATGGACACATGGATAGCAGTTTCTTCATTCTAGACCAACATCTGCCGCAGGCTGATGAGTCCACTTGGTTGAACTGCAGGTTCTCCCTCTTGGTCCTTCCTTCTGAGCTTTGTCTCTTGGGGTTGCCATTCCCCACTCCATAAGCCCTTAGTTGTTTGTTCTCTGTTGTCAAAAATGGCCTGGTTGTCCACACGGACTTCCTGTCCACACCATCCCCCCCCAAATCTCTACCTTTGCTTTTCCCACATCCTACAAGGTGATCTGTCCCAAAGAAATATACGAGCTGCAAACGTGAGCCGTTGATACGATGTTAAATTGCCTAGAGGAACAGGCAGAAATAAGGATAATAACATAGCTTATTTAACCCAGTGTACCTAAAATATTATCATTTCAATATAGAATGAATATCATTTCAATATAGAATTTCTATGAATATAGAAAAAGAAAAAGAAAAAAAAAAACAAGCAAACAAAAAAAGCCTTACCTTTTTCGTTCTGTTTTTACGCTAAGTGTTTGGAATCCAGTGTGTTATGGATTCTGCATTTCCCGCACGTCTCAGTCTGGTGCAGCCCACATTTCAAGTCCTCCGAGCCACACGGGGCTGCCTCCAGCAAAAAGCAGTAGGACCGAGGCCTGTTGGCAAGGAAATACTTGGACTCAGGGCCATCAGACATGGCACAGGCAGTGCGAAGTATGCTGAGCCTGGCTCATGCCTCCACATCCTTCCTTATGAAATGGGGACGTGGGTGAAGATGGCCTGGTGCAGACAGAGGGTGGGCACCCGGGAACCCCAGCTGCGGTGGTGGACATGGGGCATCCGGACCGTACTCCAGATCTCCAGGGCACTGTGGCAGGCCTGGAACGCGGTCACAGGCAGGCGGTCCCTGACATCTGCTTCTGTCCCACACCCCCCAGGGCCCAGCAGAGAAGAATGTATTCACTGTGCGGCAAACTTGCACTTCCAAGACTGGAAATGTGTGTCAGCCTGTGGCGAAGGTTTCTACCCAGAGGAGATGACGGGCTTGCCCCACAAAGTGTGCCGAAGGTACGCAATCCTTTCAGACGGTCTTCCTGGCTCAGACCAAGATTGCTGGGGAATGGATGGGGCGCCTGGGTGGCTCAGTCGGTTAAGTGTCCTACTCTTGATTTCGGCTCAGGGTCATGAGATCGAGCCCCACGTCGGGCTCCACGCTCAGCAGAGAGTCTGCTTGAGATGCTCTCTCTCTCCCTCTCCCCCTCCCCCGCTCATGCTCTCTCTCTCTCTCTGACAAATAAATAAATAAATACATCTTTAAAATAAATAAATAAATCTTAAAAAAAAAAAAAGGATTGCCAGGAATGGTGGTTGTCTGTGCAAGTGAAGTAGCAGCCAGAGGGCCAAGTCTGGTGGCCTCTTCCCTGGGGCTGGGGGAGGGTGCCACATCACAGCACTGTAGAGGGTGCCGTAGGTATGGTGGGGTACCGGAACCCATTTAGAGCGGAGGGGTCCCCTGTAGCTGGTGATTGCCAAGGCCACAAGTTTGCTGGTGGCTTTCATTCCTTTGTTCATTTAATGAGTTTTGAGTGCCGGGTGCTCTGTAGCTGGGTCGGGGCAGGAAGTAGAATAACAAGGTGCCTGCCTGGTGGTACTCACACCCCCGTGGCAGACTCCACGGGAGCTCCCCTGTGCCACAGCCCAGGATGCATTCACACTGGGGATAATTAAGGAAACCGTGTGTTGGTTTTGTTGTTGTTGTTGTTGTTTTTCATTTTACATTAGAGAAAATTTAGGTTCAATGTCCTCATTCTAAAACCATTCCCTATGCAGTCAGTGAACATAGACTGTAACCCCTCTCACTCTCCTTTCCATGTGTGTCTGCGTTATGCACCATTCTTGTTTGGTGGCTTCCAGCCCTGTAGTTTTCCTTCTCTTTCTCATTGGACATGAGCCGTGGAAGAAGAAGCCATTTGCTTGGGTGTCCTCTTGTCTTACTGAATAGTTACTGCCTTTCCTCTGGACTTCATAACTTAGATCCCAGGACAGGCAGGGCAGCCCATCTTATTCAGGGTGAGAGCAATAATGAGGTGGTGCAAGGCGGACTGGATAATAATGATGATGGGGGTGGAGGAGGGGCCTTCCCTCTGAAATAAACTCAAAACTAGGGAACCCTGGAGACGCATACTACGGCAGGGTTGGGGAGACCTTGCCCTGTCTTTCCGGCTCACAGATGGGGACACACAGTGGGGTTGCCTCCCCAGGCTGTGTTTGAGAACTGCTCTGGGTTCTAATTTATCCTCTTAAAAATAAGTGGGGCGCCTGGGTGGCTCAGTCAGTTAGGCATCTGCCTTTGGCTCGGGTCATGGTTCTGGGGTCCTGGGATCAAGCCCCGCATTGGGCTCTCTGCTCAGCAGGAAGCCTGATTCTCCCTCTCCGTCTGCCTGCCACTCCCCCTGCTTGTTCTCTTTCTCTCTCTCTGTCAAATAAGTAAATAAAGATTTTATTTATTTATTTATTTGACAGAGAGAGACATAGCGAGAGAGGGAACACAAGCAGGGGGAGTGGCAGAGGGAGAAGCAGACTCCCCACTGAGCAGGGAGCCCGATGTGGGCCTTGATCCCAGGACCCTGGGATCATGACCTGAGCCGAAGGCAGATGCTTAACAACTGAGCCACCCAGGTGCCCCGTAAATAAAATCTTAAAAAAAGAAAAAAAAAAAGCAAACAAAAAAAAACCTTACAGTCAGCCAATGAGAGACCACCAGGTCCTTGTACTTTTTTGACTCACCAAAGAAGGTCCGGAGGGATTATGTATCTGGGCAGGAGTCAGCCTCCTCTTTTGCGCTGATTTGAAATAGGAAACTTGCCACCTTCATCCAGCTTTGCTGAGTCCTGTGTAGGGTCCTCGGCGTGGGTGTCTGAAGTAAGCCTTTCATTTTAAAGAGCCTGCTGGTTCAAGGGTAATTACACTAAGTACGGCAGCCTGGGGAGAATGTGGAATTAAACAGTGATAATCACTTTCGTTCATCAGATGCGCAGGATCCCACAGGATGCTGGGCATCCCCATGAGTGTGGCCACCGGCCCCCCGTGGGGCACCCAGAAACTATGGCCTCCCCAGCCCAGGAGGCGGGAGGTAGGCAGCCCCCCAAGCCCCTCCTTGACATCAGGGGATAGCAGCTTCTGGGTGCTTATTTCCACAGGAGGGAGAGCGTTCAGGCCTGGAGGGGAGTCCAGTGCTGGGGCTCTCTGGGGCATATCTGGGAGATACACACCCAGGAGGAGCCCCACACAAGGCGCTGAGGTGGTGAAATGCCTGCCTTTTGGGAAGCTTCCATCTGTAGAGTCCCCTGGCTCCGAAGACCCCTTCCATGTGGATTCCTCCTGAAGGAAGAATAGACTTGGGCTGCTTGGTTGTGCAGCTTTTAGGGTTTGGCCTCCTCCAGGCCCCAGGATGCTGCATGGTGCTGTGGCTAGCCCTGGCTGGTGGGTCCGGGACAGCTCCGTAGAAAAGCCAGGCCAGGAATCAGGCCTGCTGGGTTGGCAACCAGGATGCCAAGAAGACCCGCAAAATGAGGCCCAAAGTGGAAAGAGTCCATGATAAAGATCTCAAGAGTCACTGGACACCCCCAAGGCTTAGTAAGAGGACCCAGAGGAGCAAGCAAGGACCTCTCTGAAGACAGCAATTCGGTGGGGTACGTGCCTGAGGGGTGGTTAGCCTCTCATGCCCCCAGGCCTCCCCACTGTCCTCTGCTCCCTCTGCCCCTCGCGGGTGATCAGTGGGGCAGACTTCAGGCCTGCCTTCGGCTTTGTCCTCTGCTCAGACTGAAGTGTGATAAGACGAGCTGACTCTCACCCGGAACAGCCTAAAGGCGAAAGGAAGGAAGAGGACCTGGCCCCCACAGTGGAGCGGGGAAGAAGGGAAGAGGGGCTACAGTGGGCAGGCCCACTTCCAAAGTTTGCCAGAGCAAAGCTGTCATGGTGTTTTGTGGGGGAAGTCGGTACCATAGAAAGTGACAGAATCAGAGGTGTTTGAAAGCCCCCTGCCTAAGAGGACTACCTGCGGGGCAGAAGGGAGCCAAGAGGGTCTTTCAGAGAAGCAGGGACCTCAAGGCAGTTGGTGTGGTGATGGCGGGGGGGGGGGGGGTTACCTGGAGGGGCATCATCCCTCCCCGGGAACAGCATGATGCTGGATTCTTCCCCTGAGCTGGGACCTCCACATCCAAACCCAGGCTAGCCGACTCCGTGACCTGGGCCTTGTGAGCCCCCAAGCCGGGAGCTGCTCGGAGCCTGCCCAGGATTCTCTGCCTGCAGAGCTGGGAGATACTGAATGGGGTTGTGTTAAGCTGCCAGGTTTGTGGTAGTTTGTTACACAGCCATAGAAGACTGACCCACCTGCGTTCCCTTGGGGCTGGCAGGGAGACCCCTGAGCTTGGCGGAAGAAGGCTTACTTCTCCAAATCCAAGCAGGTGGATTCCTCTACCTTAGCCTGCGCCACTCACCATTACGTTGAAGCAGGCCTCAGCCACAGCCTGGGAGTGCTGGCCCCAGGCCTTTGAGAGGACTGATGCCCCATTGAAGAGTGAGGTGAGGCCCTGGTTCTGGTCCTACAGGGGTGGTGGTAAAAGAAGCCAGGAATCCCCAGGGGGAGTCATCCCTTGTGCTGTGGCATCGGGTCTGTGGCTGGGCCACCCCCAAGGCGCAGCAGGACGGGGGCCAGACCCTAGCGGCTTCCCCAAAGTGCATAGAAACAGGGTCCCACCGAGCAGGCCCCGCCCTCCCCTCCAGGTTGTCTGTGGGGGGCGGTGGCCAAGCTCTTGCTCTCGGAGGAGGACATCAGAAGGGCAGGTTTGCCTTCGGGATTCACCCATTTAGGAATACAGACTGCGGGCCTGAACTCCAGCGTGGGGGCCATCCTGCACCAGAAGAACAAAGCCCACCTCTCATCCGGGCCGAGGGCGTGACCCACCAGGGGCTCCCCGCAGGCAGAATCAAAGGTGCAATCAGAAGCCAAGGCTGCTTCGGGGAGAGGCCTACAGGAGCCTCGTTGATGGCATCTGGTCGCCGACTGGGCAGGTGGCATGCGTCCTCAGCAAAGACCGGGCCGCGCAGGGCCGAGGGGCGGGAGCCAGGCTCGAGCTCCGGGTGCCCCGCCCACCGGCCTGAGCTCCGCCTCCGGGGCGGTTCCACCGGCGGCGGGCCTCCGCGGAGAAGGTGGGCGGCAGGCTGGCGCGCCGGGAGACCCAGTCACTAGGAGCTGGACTCAGAAAAGGCAGCAGGTGCGGCTGCAGGCCCTGGGGCAGGGACGGTCGGCTCTTGCTGTGGAGGGCCTGGTGGCCAGGAGTTTGGGCTCGGCAGGCCCTGTGGTCTCCGCCACAGCCGTTCGGTTCTGCCACGGCGGAAGCAGCCACAGCTGATGTAGAGATGAGCGGGTGACTGTTGCAGTGCAGCTGCTGGATGTGGCTTGCGGGCCGCCGTGTGCCAGTCCTCCCCCGGGGTCACGGAGCTCTGCATTCGAAAGAGCCCCGGGTTCCATCTCTGGGGCAGGAACTGGAAGAGCCTCCCCCTGCCCGGCGGCCCTGCGGGGAGGTCGGCTTCACTGTGAGGGACGCTCAGCCTCCTGGGCCGCAGCGGTCCCCCAGGCCCGCTCCGGGAACGGGTTTGCCATATGCCTGTCCCTGAGTGCCAACCCTATGGCCGTCCGAGGCGGGCAGCTGCCCAGGGTGCATGTCCTGATGCTGCTTGAGGAGCCAGCTGTGGGGTGGGTGCCAGTGTCCAAGAAGGTGTCCAGGTGAGCCACAGGGAGTCTGGGCCACCGGGACCTGGGCCCATCAACCCCCCCCCCCCCACGAGCAGGCTCCTGCCGACTGGCCGTGACCGACTGTACGCCCCGCCCCCCCCCCCCCAGGGCAATAGTGCGGTCAGTCAGGTGCAAGGATGTGCAGATGCTTGGCTGGGGTTTCACGCAGTTGCAGGGCGGGTGCTGCGCAGGAGGGTAGGGGGGCTGCGGGAGGGGTGCCTGGTCCCTTCCACCAGCAGCAGCATGAACCTGTGTCCTCCTCCCGCAGGTGTGACGAGAGCTGCCTGAGCTGCGAAGGCTCCAGCAGGAACTGCAGCAGGTGTAAGACGGGCTTCACGCTGCTGGGGAACACGTGCATCACCAACCACACGTGTAGCAACGGTGAGCGCCCGCGGGGCAGCGGGGGCACCTCAGTTAACCTCGGGGCTGCCCTTGCAGGAGCTCAGCTCCCTGGCGTTTGGTCAAAGAGAAAGGAAAAGGAGATGCAGGACAGCAGACTCTCTGAACGGGTGTGCAGGCCACTCCTCTGGGTGACCATCAGGAACGCCTCTCACCCTCCTTCTGTCCCATGGAGCCGTCACTGGCCCCGACCCGGCCGAGCACAAACCCGGCGTGCCCTGCCGATCTCCACATGGCCTCCTTGCCTTGGTGTTTGGTCATTTCTTTGGTTTGCAGAATTGTGTGCTTTCCAAAACTAGGAAGCACCCTCGCTAGGATGACACCTGCTCAGGTTATATATCCAGCCCGAGAAAGTGGGGCGGTCACAGGAGGGTCTCCCAGGTCCCATCACTGGCCAGGCAGCTTCAAAAGCCAGCAGCCAGCTGGGATGGGCTGGCCCCCCTCCCTCTTCCCCTTCCCCTTCCCCTTTCCATCAGCCTTGACATTCCTCTCCCTCCTATCCCATCCGGTTTGGGGTGCTCCCAGGACGCAGGAGCAGCCTCCATGCCTGTCCCTCCTAGCCTCCCCCCACTCCCAGAGTCTTCCTACTAGTTTTCCCCCCACCACAGTTACCTAGAAAGACAGGTGCACAGGAGCCCTGAGGCCCGACTGGTGCAGCGCCCCCTCCACCCTCCACACTGCCTCGAGCCCCGCCCCCGTCTATCCCGGCATGAACCCCTGCGTGCTCGGTGCTCCCTCTGCCAGACTTTGCATGTCACGGGAAGGTGGTGAGGGCCACTCTGGCGCTGTCCCCACTTCCTCTGTGACCCCCGGTTCCGCGCCCCCGCCCGGTCCATCATGGGGGCCAGTGAAAAGGGGATGGTTGGAACAATCTTAACAGGCCCCAAAGTCTGACATGTCCCCCCTTTCTCTTTCCTGGTGGGACCCCAGCTGACGAGACGTTCTGTGAGATGGTGAAGTCCAACCGGCTCTGTGAACGGAAGCTGTTCATTCAGTTCTGCTGCCGCACGTGCCTCCTGGCGGGGTAGGGGCACCCGGCCGACCGCAGAGGGCCGGGCCCCTCCTGTCCGTCCGTCCACCCGCCTCTTCTCCACACTGTCAGCCCGAGCCTGTCGCAGGGGTGCCCCGCACCCGACAGCTTTATCTCCCCAGGAGCAAGGTCCTTCTGCGGCATCCCTGAGCACTCGGCCCAGATGGGTGGTGGGCCTCGAGGCGGTGTCCCTCAGACAGCGGTCGCCTCTCAAACTCTGCTTACCGGCTCCGTTCTTCTGGCAGACCCCCCAACGGGAACAACAGGAATGCCGGGAATCCACAGCTCCAGCTTCGGAGCAGCTTCTGGGACCATAAGTTTACTGAATCTTCAAGACCAAAGCAGAAAGGCAAGATGCTTGGCTTCACACATCACTCTTCGCCCCGTGCTTTCGTGCAGCCTCAGTGAATCTCACCTGCCGGGCCCGGGCCCCGGGCTCCCGGTGTGGGACGCCCGGCCCAGCGCGTACCTCCTCCCCCGCTGGCCACAGAGCACTCTGGGGACGGTCTGGTCAGACTGTAAATAAGATAGACTTGGGGGTGTAAAATATATGACCACTGGGGAGGACGTCTGTTTCTCCACAGTCGGCTACTTCTGGAGCTGCAGCGAAGTCTTAGAATGTCCCATTCCACATCTGGATGGGAAGACCCTTCCTTTCGCCACCGCACTGTCCTGGAGGTGAGCCGAGCGCACCTTGTCACCGCGTTCTGTCGTGTCTCCAGGAGTCTCCTGGTCCGAATGAACACCTCGACCTGACACAGAGCCTTCTGAGGAGGGTCCCCAGGAGGCATCTGGGGGGCCAGCCACAAGGAGCCCCAGTGACTTAAGCAATTCCTCTTCCCCAAATGGAAACCCAGCCCAAGAGTCATTAATCCTATCGCTGCCCATTTCGTGGAATTGCTTTTGAAATACCCTTGGCCTCTGCTCGCTGGGAGACTTGTTCCTGAGGTGGATGCTCCTGTGTCTGTGTTCTATGAGCCTAACGACACGGTTGGATTGATTTCTGCCAAACCTGTGTAGGCATTTTATAAGCTACATGTTCTAATTTTTACCAATGTTAATTATTTTGACAAATATTTCATATATTTTCATTGAAATGCAGACCTGCTTGATCAGTTCCCTTCAATATGGGAGTGACATTTGCCTTAAATTTTTTCGAGCTCGTTCTCCATTTTTGTCCTGCTCCCCTCTTTGACTGTAATGCATTTGCCTTGTCCCCTAGGAGCTGGGGGAACTCAGCTATTGTTTTTTGAATCCACAACTTCAAAAGAGAAATTCACAAAGCAAATACAATGTTAACCCTAAGTTAATAAAAGAGTTAACATCCCATGACAAAGAAGCCTGTATTTCTTTCCAAGGCACAATGATGAAACGATGAAACGTGGAGGTTGACCCATGTGTGAAATGGCTTTATTTATGGTTTTGGATCTCTTTGATGTCATTAAGTGGAAGGTCTTCGGGCTTTAGCGAATGTTCGTGTAATGAAGTCATGGGAGAAATCCCAGAGTTCCAGGCTCAGGGTGTCCTTTGGTAACCGACCTTCCTTGGGCCACAGAAGCCCGGTTGGGTGGTGGGGCTGGATATAGGGATGCCCGCCTCCTGTCAAGGGGGCGCCCCCCGCAGCCCAGACCACGTACGTGCCTCTTCACCTATAGCTGCCAAGTGGGACTTAGTTAGGTCACAGCTTGTCTTTTGCACAGTGACCGAAATCCCTGTACCCACGGGTTTTTGTGCTGCATGGGATTTTTACCATGGCCTCTCTTTGAGCTCAAAAGCTTGTACTTGCTGGGAATCCAGCACATTTTTGGCGTTTATCTGCAGCCTTTATGGCTACAAATAAAGGAAATGCACCAATTAGAACTGACTTAGGGAAAAACAAAAGTGGGTGAGGGGCCCTGTTTTAGGACTCCAGGGTTGACTCAGAATTTCAGGAAGGGTGCAGCTGGGCCTTGGGACCCCTGGGGCCAGCATTAAATGTGACCTGGACCCTCATTGCCTGTAGTCTGTCCTCCTGGCCTCTCCAGTTAGGACAAATGACAAGACCACTGACATCTCCCAGGCAAAACTGGTACGGATCAAACTCCCTAGGTAAGCTTTCTGAATCTGCTTCTTGGCCCCAGTTATCCTGCTTCGTATCAGTGTTCATCCAGCCCCACCAGCTGTGGCCACAGGGAGTTTGTATAGTAGAACGTGGCTGCAGGGAACTTTCCAGCAACCTCAGAGCCAGAAGAGGGGAGCACTGTGTAGCTCTCAGAAGGTGGGGGTCGGCCACACAACCTTGACATCTACCCACCATGAGCACGACACCAGGAGTTGTCAATGTGAGGCAACGAAGGATTGAGTGAGTGTGTCCGGGAGACAATAGCCAGGACTAGGGCAGAATATTGGTAAGGGTTCAACATCCCCCATGAGACCGACATGGAATCAAAACCAGCAATTGCTAAGTACCTCTGGTGCAAGGCACCATTTTAGCCCCCTGGAGCTCTTTAGCCACTGAGAGCTATGGTCTAACATGTTTGGGACTGAATCAGAAATAAATTCCTTTTATTCCCAAGGGATACCCGCCACTATAAGAAGCCAACCAGGCAGCCTCAGAGTGCACGACCCTCGTTGCAGTGGCGGGGCCGGCCGGTCCTGGGGCTGCTGAGGGTGGTGGCAAGCTGATAAGCTGTTCACAAAGTCCTACGGACAAAACACCACCTTGTTAAAAAGGACCAACCATAGAAAATGCCTGTTCACACATGGCCCAACCTTAAGGATATTTGGACTCAGTAAAGGCGGGGACATATTTATTGATTTTGCTTTATGGGATAAAGTCACGGGTCATCTCCCCTGAATCTGTTGTTTCGTAGACTGAGGCTCATAGAGGTAAAGTGACTTGCGTTGGGCCATACACTGGCAAGGTGGCTCCCTTCCTGTCTCTAGGGAGGGGGGCTGGCTCTCTATAGGAGGGGGGTTAATTCTGCAGTTGGCCAAATCCAGCCACGATGCATTTGTTTTAACCTAGCTTTATTTCCAGGAGATGATAGTCCTCTGACCTTGTCCCCAAATTCTTTGGCACCTCCCAGTGGTCCCCACAGGCTCATCTCCATCCCTCCCAGGCCACTGCTGACTTGACACTTTGTAACTCTCGAAAGGGTTGGGGGAAGCTGCACTTTTTACAGAAGCTATACCTATAACGGAAAGGGGAAGAATTGAACTTTAAAGAAACCAGGAGGGCAACATGGAGTAAAGGGGGCCAGCCGTAGGGTGCATTGGAGTCTGGGGAGACTGCTCTCCACTGCATTTGAATCACCATAATATGGCTGAAGAGGGCTGTATGCTTGAATGCTTGAGGTATGCTGGGGCCCCTGGGAGCAGGTGAAGGGTGGAGGTCCAGATCAGAGGATAGAAAGGGAAGGAGGTGGAGAAGTGAAGCAGAAAGGACATTTTAATGAGAATAAACAAGGATAATGGAAACCAAGGCCATTCTCCAGCATCTTAAGGTTCTGCCCATTAAGCTGGGAGGCATCTGGGTTCTGCCCACCCTAGCCTTCTCTACTGCTTTCTTTCCTTGAGCCCAGGCCTTATCCTTCCTGGCTCGTTGCCCAAGGCCTTTCCTGACACCCCAGGCTCTTTGGTTTGTCTGTGCACAGAATAGCACCCCTAGGTGATACAGCACTGAGCACCCACCAGAATCCTGGGTCCCAGGGTTCAGTTCCCACCACCCAAAGTTTCACTCTTCCCCGACACACACATACACAATGTACCAGCCACACTAGAAGTGATCAGATACTTCTTAGGCTCCCTGTTGAGCAAAGAGGAACCAAAGCGCTCAGAGCAGAGAACACTCTTGCCAAAAACAGTGGTTCTCAACCTGTTGGAGATTTCTGTCTCCTAGGGGATATTTGTCAATGTCTAGAGATATTTTTGGTTGTCAAAACAGGACATCTAGTGAGCAGAAGCCAGGGATACCGTTAAACATCCTGCAGTGCACAGGATGACCCCACAATAAAGAATTATCTAGCCCCAAAATGTCAACAGTGCTGAGGTTGAGAAAACTTACCCAAAAGAAATGAAATTTAAAAAGGTAATCTCAACTTCATAGGGATGTCGTACAATGAATAAAACCACCTATAGTTTGATTTATGTCCCTGTTCATGTACTGAAGCAAAGGAAATCCATACAACTTTCCTTTTTCAAAGTAAAGAAACCCCTTCTTTTAACCCAGAAAGAGAAGGGACAAGTAAAACTAGTTCTCTGGTCTAAGGACTCCACCTGGTGGTCCTCTCTGGAATTAAGTGTTCTGGATTATTTTGATTTCACTTTTTTATTTTGAGACAATCTCGAAGTAAAATTATAGAAAAGTTGCAAAGAGAGTACAAAGAAATGTTGTCCTGAACAATTTGAGAGTAAGTTACTGATATGATGCCCCATTACCTCCAAAATACTTTAGAGTGTTTTCCTATAAACAAGGACCTTCATATAGCCACCAGGATCAGGAAGTTAACACTGATGTATTATTACCATCTAATCCTCTGACTGCATTCAAGTTTTGTGAATAGTCCCAATAATGCCCTGAACAAAAGGATCTACTTTAGGTCACTCTTTGCATTTAGTCATTATGCCTTTTTTTTTTTTTTAAGATTTTATTTATTTATTTATTTGAGAGAGAGAGTGAGAAACAGCATGAGAGGGGATAGGGTCAGAGGGAGAAGCAGACTCCCCGCCGAGCAGGGAGCCCGATGCGGGACTCGATCCCGGGACTCCAGGATCATGACCTGAGCCGAAGGCAGTCGCTTAACCAACTGAGCCACCCAGGCGCCCCATTATGCCTTTTTAGTCTTCTTCAGTCTAGAACAATTCATCACTTCTCTGACTTTCATGACCGTGAACGTTTTATTTGTTTAATTTTTTTAAAAAAAAATTATTTATTTGACAGAGAGAGACACAACGAGAGAGGGAACACAAGCAGGGGGAGTGGGAGAGGGAGAAGCAGGCTTCCTGCTGAACAGGGAGCCCGATGCGGGGCTCGATCCTAGGACCCCAGGATCATGACCTGAGCCGAAGGCAGACACTTAATGACTGAGCCACCCAGGTGCCCCAACCTTAAACCTTTTAAAGACTACAGGCCAGTTATTTGTAGGCTGTCCCTCAGTTTGCATATATCTGAGGTTTCCTTACATTTCCATTCAGATCATGCATCTTGGACAGGAATCTCCCAGAATTGATGCTGTGTCCTTCTAATCACATTCTAGTAAGTGAATCATGATTTTGATTTGTTCCATTATTGGTGATATTAACACTGATCACTTGATTAGGGTTCTCCCCTCACCTCTCCACCTGCTCAAGGATATCTGTTTTTAGCATTGTCCACAACATCATGCTGAAGATCCCAGCCAAAGAAACAAGGCAAAAAATAAAGAACTAGTATAAGAATTGGAAAGAAAGAAATAAAACTGTCATTATTCTCAGCATGGTTATGTACATAGAAAACCCAAAAGAATGGTTATGAACTATTAGAATTCTAAGAAGTGAATTTGGCAAGACTGCTGCATACAATGCTAGTATTAATTGTATTTCAACTAGAAATTGTTGAAATTGTATTTCAACTATACTTCAATGTAGCAGAAACTAATAATTAGAACATAGGATTTTTTTTTTAGCTTTTGATGCTTTTTTAGATTTTGATGTTACAACAGTAGCAAAAACTATCATATACCTAGAATGGGTCTAGTGAAAGATGTATAAGACCTCTACACAAAAAAATATAAAACACCAAAGAAATTAAATACAGTCTAAATAAATATAAGGTTACACCATGTTCATGGATTGGAATACTCAATATTATAAACACATGGATTCTCCAAACTTATCTACAAATCCAGTACAATATAAATCAAAGCATGTGTTCTTTCTTAGATGCAAAACGGACCTAAGATTTATACTAAAATGCAAAGAACAAGAATAACCAAGACAATCTTGAAAAAAAACTGTGAGCCCTTTTTAAAGGCTAATGTCAAGTTTGTTTTTTTTTAACTTTTTAAAAGATTTTATTTATTTGACAGAGAGAGACACAGCGAGAGAGGGAACACAAGCTGGGAGAGTGGGAGGAGGAGAAGCAGGCTTCCCGCGGAGCGGGGAGCCCAATGCGGGGCTCTATCCCAGGACCCTGGGATCATGACCTGAGCCAAAGGCAGACGCTTAACGACTGAGCCACCCAGGTGCCCCTAACGTCAAGTTTTTAAATGACATTATGATATTATGCAAGAATAGGCAACTAAACCCATGAAACAGAATAGCTAGTCCAGAAGCAGAGCTTCACATATTTGGACACTTATTTTATGAAAAAGGTGGCACTGCAGAGCAGTGGAGAAAGGATGGTCTTTTCCATAAATGATAAACTGGGTCAAATGAATATCCATATGGGGAAAAAATATATTCTTAATCCCTACCTCAGACCATACACAAAAATCTATTCCAGACAGATTGCAAATCTAAATGTGAAAGGTAAAGTAACAAAACTTTTATTTTTTTAATTTTTTTTTACGATTTTTTATTTTTTATTTGATAGACAGAGATAGCGAGAGCAGGAACACAAGCAGGGGGAGTGGGAGAGGGAGAGGTAGGCTTCCCACCGAGCAGGGAGCCCAATGCGGGGCTCGATCCCAGGACTCTGGGATCATGACCCGAGCTGAAGGCAGACACCTAACGACTGAGCCACCCAGGTGCCCCAAAACAACAAAACTTTTAGAAGAAAATATTCATGATTTGGGGGTGGGCAAATTTCTTAAAAGGACTTAAAAGAGCAGTAACCACATAGAGAAAGGTTCATAAATTACACTATATTAAAATTAAGACCTTCTGTTCACCAAAAGACACCATTATGAGGATGAAAAGGCAATCCACAGAGAGAGGGAACATATTCACTATACATATCTCACAAGAACTCATATCCAAAAAATATAAAAATCTACAAATCAGTAAAAAAAGAACAGCCCAATAGGAAAATGTGCAAAATACCTAAACAGACATTTCACAAAAGCAATGATCCAATGGACAATAAAGATATTTTTTAAAGTTCTCAACTGTGTTAGTACTTAGGAAAATACAATTAAAGCCACAGTGCAATACCACTACTGACCCAACAGAATGGCTAAAATTAAAAAGACAAACAATACCAAACGTTAATCAGGAATGTAAATTGGTACAACCACTTTGCAAAACTAGTAGAACCTACTTAAGCTGAATGTAAGTTAACCCTATGACCCAGCAATTCCATTTCCATGTATATATTAGCATATGTGTTCACTTAAAGATATGTATTATAATGATAATAGGTGCACCACTTATAATAGCTCAAACTGGAAATTACCCAAATGTTCATCAACAGCAGAATGGATAAACTGGAATATTCACACAACGAAATACTATATAACAATGATCGTAGGTTAACTACATCTGTACGCAAATACAATGTTAAGCAAGAGACACATAAGGTACAATTTTATCTGCATGAATATAAAATTAAGCAAAACCAATCTATGCAAGATGTGGTTACTATTGGGGCAAGCATGTGACTGAAAGGACAAGAAGGGGGCTTCTAGAATGTGGCAATGTCCTGTTCTTGACCCGGATGTCAGTTACTTGGGTGTGCTTGGGTTGCATTCTGCTGTAGGGACTATGTCATAATTCAATAAAAAGTTCAAAAAGAATCAATTCCAGGGGGACTGTAGAGCTGCGTGTGAAAAGAAAAATGATTAAGCCGCTAGTAGACAGCAACAACAAAATGTTTGGGGGCACACAACCCTCTAACCAGAAAGGAAAAGATGAATTGAATTACATAAAAATTAGAAACATCTAGTCATCAAACAATACCAAGAGTGGAAAGGCCAATAAGCAGAAAAACTTTTCCTGTCCCAGACCTACACGACCACAGTGAAATCGCCCCCCCCCCCAAGAGGACAAAAGACAGTCAATAGGTAGGGCTACCTGAGCTAAGTTCTTCCTCTGATGACTCCTCTTGAATTGGACCATGTGAAAGCTTGTTCCCGTTGCAAAATGAGTGAGGAGGCCACCTTCGTAGCCCTTTGATTTGAATTGCAGTCCAGATTGACTTGGTGATTTGGGGGATAGGATGTTATCCTAAACAGAACAAAATGGATTACAATTTGTGTTTTGCAGCATTGGTGACTTGTACGAGGACAAGTCTGTGAATTCTTTTGTATTTAAGCAGTTTTAACCAAAAAAAAAAAAAAAAGTGCAAAGGCAAGCCACAGAGTGTGCTCACATCCAGAATATATAAAGCAATCCCATAAGTCAATAAGAAAAAGGCAGACAATCCAGTAGGGGGAAAAAAAATGGACCAGAGACTTGAATGAGCACTTGGCAAAAGATACCCGAATAGACAACATACAAGAGAAGGTCCTCAACCTCATTACTTATTAGAGAAAAGCTAATCAAAACAATAGTGCAATACCACTACACAGCCACCAGAATGTCCACAATTATTTTTTATATGATTATTATTATCATTAATTGAGAGAGAGAGAGAGAGTGCACGCACGTGCACATGCAGGAGCAGAGGGAGAGAGAGAGAATTCCAAGCTGGCTCCATGCAGAGCCCACTACCTGGAAATCATGACCTGAGCAGAAATCAAAAGTCCCATGCTTAACTGACTGAGCCACCCAGGTTCCCCTGAATCACCACTGACAATACCAATGAGGCTGAGGTTGAAAGCATGGAAACCCTTACGCACAGCTACAGTATGTATATTATTTCAGCCTCTTGGCCTGTTAGACATTTTTACCATACCCTATGTCCCAGAAGTTCTACTTCTGGAGAAACTCAGGCACGTGTGCATTGGATCCATGTACAAGAAAGTGCATAGCAGCATTATTTAGAATAGCCCCAAAAGGAAACAATCCTAATGTCCATCAACAGCAGAATGGCTAAGTCATGGTATAAGATATACAACGGAATTCTATACAGCCGCGAAAGTAAACAAATCATTGCTGCACGCAAACAGGATGGTTCCAGTCATAATACAAAACCAAAGAAACCGGGCAGGCAAGCACACTGCATGATGCTATTTGTATCAAAAGCAAGCAAAAGTTGGGGAGCCTGGGTGGCTCAGTCGGCTAAGGGTCCGCCTTCCACTGGGGTCATGATTCCAGGGTCCTGGGATCCAGCCCATGTTGGGCTTCCTACTCGGCAGGAGTCGGCTTCTCCCTCTCTCTCTGCCCCTGACCCCACCCCCCTTGTGCTTTCTCGCTCTCAAATAAATAAGTAAAATCTTAAAACAAAAACAAAAACAAAAACAAGCAAAACTAATCTATGGTGTTCGATTCCTGGTTGCCTTGGGAAGGGAGGGAGGCTTTCAGAAAAGTGTTCATTTTCTGGACCGGGAGGCAGCAACGCAGGTGTTCTCACTCTGTAGCTATTAGTCACGTTGCAAATTCCTGGTCTGCGCACTAAATATTTAAATGTCTGGAGATCACTGGCCTAACAGAAAACTGAACCTGGCGCAGAGCCGGGGCTGGCGCGCGGGGCGGTAGGACGATCCCAGTGAAGTGGCCCTGTGATTGACCTTGCCCTGGTTCTCACGTGGTAGCCCGGGGGACCAAAGCACCCGCCCGGAATGAGAACCTGAAGTCCTGGACCCTTCACTGGATCCCACGGGTGCCCGCCCCTCCTGGGTGGAGTGAGGACAGACACCGCGTCTCCTCCCACCTCAAGCTGCAACGATGCATGGAGATAGTTCCACTCGGGTGCCTTCACATTTTGCTTAACTTGCGGACACAAACATCTGGAATCAGGGGCCCTCCTCCAGATACGCCCCAAGGAGGATCCCAGAGCCTGAGACAAGCTCAGCGCTCGCCCGAACCTCCGAAGAGAACGAGGTCGGGGAGCGCCCGAACCTCCGAAGAGAACGAGGTCGGGGGCGTGGCTCTTCGATTGCTTCGGCCTGGATGTGGAGCTGCACGCGCATGCGCCGGCTGCGATTGGTGTTGCCTGGCGGCGGGGCGCGGGGGACGCCGGGAAGTCTGGCGGGCGGGAGGCGGCGGGAACAGCCGGCGGGCCGTGGCACCGGCAGCGGGAGGCGGCAGGATGGTGAAACTGACGGCAGAGTTGATCGAGCAGGCGGCTCAGTACACCAACGCCGTGCGGGACCGCGAGCTGGACCTCCGGGGTAAGTCTAGGGGGTGGGCGGGCCTCCGCGCGCAGCCCCGTGGTTCGCACCCCGCCGCGTGCGCGGAAGGCCGGCGCTTGGCCAGCAGGCCTGCATTGTGGGCGCCAAGCCGGGCGGTGCCAGCACCGCCCGGGGCTGAGTCTTGCCGTTGCTGCCCCAAAACCATCCCTAGGCCCTTCTGAGGCTTCAGTTACCCCCGCTTGTGCTCACTCGCCCAGCCGATTGATTGATCGCTCCCTGATCCGCACCCGTGGGCCTCAGCTAGGCCTCGCTTGGCGTATTTCGCAGACTGAACTGTTTGAGAGCTGGGGAAATGTTAATAGCTGTAATCCTAGTGCTCAGCGGCTCGTTGGTTCTCAGCAAATACGTTGAACTGTTAATGTGGGAGTATAGATAGGATACGTGTTAATTACCTATAATTTGCGAGGGAGGAAATGAAGTCTGAGAACAAAAGCGATTGTTTCCGCAAGATTTCTTTGTTGTTAGCGTCAGTTGTCTTATATGTCCCTTTCATCAAAACATTTTAGGGGCATCTGGATGGTTCAGTCGTTTAAGCGTCTGCCTTCCGCTTAGGTCGTGATCCCGGGGTCCTGGGATTGAGCCCCAAATCGGGCTCCCTTCTCAGCGGGGAGTCTGCTTCTCGCGCTCTCTTTCTCCGTGCCGCTCCCCCTGCTTGTGCGCGCTCTCTCGCTCTCTCAAATAAATCTTTAAAAAAGATTTTTTTAAGGAGGCTTGCACTACGAGTGCCCTGTGTAAGGTGGTGGAAGCTTTGAACTACTCAAATTCATGCAGCCGTTTAAACCTTAGGCTTGCGGAGAAATTGGGAGTGCAGCTGTCTAATCAGCATTTCAAGGAAATGACTTTAGGAAGGATGTGAAGAGCAATTTCTCTGGGAATAAGACGATACAATTTAGGCCTGAGATTTGGTTCCACAGGGACAACATCGGCTGAGGTGCGGCACTACTTCGGGCTCTGCTTTCGGTTTGGATTCCTTGCTGACAAAGCCCAGTGCTTTTATTTTATTTATTTATTTATTTATTTATTTTTAGAATTTCTTTCTTTCCTTCCTTTTTTTTTTTAAAGATTTTATTTATTTATTTGACAGAGAGAGACACAGCGAGAGAGGGAACACAAGCAGGGGGAGTGGGAGAGGGAGAAGCAGGCTTCCCGCCAAGCAGGGAGCCCGATGCGGGGCTCGATCCCAGGACCCTGGGACCATGACCTGAGCCGAAGGCAGACGCTTAACGACTGAGCGCCACCCAGGCGCCCCAAGCCCAGTGCTTTTATTTTGTTGAAATTAAGTTTAGAGAAAAGTTCGATTCCAGAAGTAACTGACCACTTTCGCTCTCGGCACAGATTGATCTTTGCTGTCTCTGAAGTGCATTGAGTGTTGAGGATACTTGTTTTGGTGTAACCCTTGCAGCTTTGAATTATGTACTTTAACTGTGGCTTGGGCTCATTTCTTTCTTCTGCCAGCACCTAGAACAGTAGTTAGGCCCATTTTAACAAATCCGTGAGTATTTGAGTGAATTGTTCACAGGGTGGTTTATTATTGTGTATAAACCATTGACCTTGAAGTCTGAATTGGATCTGGGAGAGGTGTAGAGGATATCCTGATAAGTTCTATGAATCTGGCCTGTGGGAATGCAAGAGGTTAAGAACTGTCTTCCACGATGTATGAACAAGACTTGGACACTGACAATAAGCAGCTTACAGTGTAAATTCTCATGCCATTTAACTATTTCTGGGGCTTTGATTAGAACAGTGTGAGGGACCCTGTAAATACTCTTGCAAATGTTAGCTACCCATATTACTATTACTAAGTGTCCTCATTACCATAGCCCTTGCCCTTGTTGTCTTGACCATCTTCATGTCCACTCCCTAGACTGTAAGCTTCGTGGCAGCTAGGACATGTGACTCTTGTTCCTCATGTTGTGTACCAGTTACTTGCACAGTGTCTGGCACAGTGTAGGTGTTAGGTAAACACTTTCTGAATAAATGGAAGCTTTGAATCAAATTACTATGAAGTACTGCTACGGTTTTAATGCACCCTTTGACCATATTAATACTTGTGTATTTTTTTTCTTCTGTTTTACAGGGTATAAAATTCCTGTCATTGAAAATCTAGGTGCTACCTTAGACCAGTTTGATGCTATTGATTTTTCTGACAATGAAATCAGGAAACTGGATGGTTTTCCTTTGTTGAGAAGACTGAAAACATTATTAGTGAATAACAATAGAATATGGTAAGTGTCTGTTAGTGGAAAGTAATTTTTTTCCCCTAGAGGAATGTTGCAGTGTTCCCTGATGAAGCCATAGTACTTAACTGCCAGTTGAGCCTACATATTTCTTAAAATGAGAAACAAGCTGCACTTTTCCCATATAGGTCCAGAGATTAACTTGGTATTGGTCTCATTTTAATTGCATCTGTTCAGAAATACTTATATATTCATGGTAATAGATACTTAAATTACAAACATGCTGTTTTGTACATATTTTGGCTTCTAAAACATAATTGTAATTATCAGAGGGATTATATTAAATAGATAGGTAAAGTTCAACAATTATATATATGTATGTGTGCGTGTGTATATATGTTTGAAGATTTATTTATTTATCTGAGAGAGAAAGTGCATACCTGAACATGAGAGCAGGGGGAGGGACAAAGGGAGAGGGAGAAAAATCCTCCAGCAAACTCCCCGCTGAGTGTGAAGCCCCATGCGGGGCTCTATTCCTGAGATCATGACCTGAGCCAAAATCAAGAGTCAGACGCATAACTGACTGAGCCACCCAGGTGCCCCCAACAATTATATTTTTGACTGAGTGTCTCTACCTCATATCCTCTGCCATTTGTTTTTCTTTACAACTGAGTTTTAGAATATTACTTACTGAAATTGAGGGTTTTCTTTAACCCCTTTTCATCACCTCTGAGTAAAGCTTATCAAAAAAAGTTATTGAAGGGGCGCCTGGGTGGCTCAGTCGTTGAGTGTCTGCCTTCGGCTCAGGTCGTGATCCCAGGGTCCCGGGATCGAGCGCCACAACGGGCTCCCTGCTCAGCGGGAAACCTGCTTCTCCCTCTCCTACTCCCCCTGCTTGTGTTTCCTCTCTCGCTATGTCTGTCTCTGTCAAATAAATAAAAAATAAAATCTTTAAAAAAAAAAAAAGTTACTGAAGGTCTGTAGACAGTGTCTTTAGTACTAGGTAGTGGCTTGCTTTTTTTTCTTTTTTTTTTTTTTAAGATTTTATTTATTTATTTGACAGAGAGAGAGGGAACACAAGCAGGGGGAGTGGGAGAGGGAGAAGCAGGCTTCCCGAGGAGCAGGGAGTCCGATGCGGGGCTCAATTCCGGGACCCTGGGATCATGACCCGAGCCGAAGGCAGCCACTTAAGCAACTGAGCCATCCAGATGCCTCGGTAGGGGCTTGCTTTTTAATTTTTTTAATTTTTACTTTTAAAAGATATGTTTGTTTATTTTAGAGAGAGAGAGCGTGCACTCAGATGCAAGTGGGGGGAGGGCAGAGGGAGAGAGAGAATCTTTTTTTAGAATTCCTGCTTTTTGAGGGCAGGGATTTTTTTTTTTTTTTTTTTTTACGATTTTTTATTTTTTATTTGAGAGAGAGGGAGAGCACAAGCAGGGGGAGCGGCAGGTAGAGGGAGAGGGAGAAGCAGGCTCCCCACTCAGCGGGGAGCCCAATGCGGGGCTCGATCCCAGGACCCTGGAATCATGACCCGGGCCAAAGGCAGCCTCTTAACCAACTGAGCCACCCAGGCGCCCCGGAGAAAGAGAATCTTAAGCAGACTCCTCGCTGAGCAGGGAACCTGACTTCAGGGCTCTATCCCAGGACCCTGAGATCCCAGCCTGCCCAAAATCAGGAGTCAGATGCTCAACTGACTGAGCTACCCAGGCGACCCAGTGACTTGCGTTTTTAAAGTAGGCGTATTTCTCGTGAGTTACCTGTTCCCTTGTAGTGTGGTTGTTTATCGTGCACCTGAGCTGTGAATGCAGAGTCACTTGTATTTCTGTGCTACCCGCACAAGAGTCATGAAGTAAGCTAAGTAGTTGGTTCTACACAGTTGCTTCTGCGCGTAGCTTTCACTGGACAAAATGGTAATGGAAAGAACCCCAGGCAATCCTCAGGAGGCATGTGTTCTAAAATCATCCCACTTCTGCCACTAACCCTGTGACCCTCGATAAGGTTTCTTCTTTGTGCTTCATTTTCCCTCTGTCAGTTAGGGTGTTGGAAGAAAGATCTCTAAAGTTCTTCCACCTTTGGAGTCTGAAATCTTCTGTACAAGGACTTAGATAAAATTGTTAGCTTACCTACTTTTCACTTTTATGAAGTCTTTTCTTTTTTCTTCCCCCATTTTAGCCGTATAGGTGAGGGGCTCGATCAGGCTCTACCCTGTCTGACAGAACTCATTCTCACCAACAACAGTCTTGTGGAACTGGTAAGACAGATGGGGGGTGCGGGGAATGCATTTGGGGGGAGGAATTAAAGGTGCTACATGCCTCTTACAGTTTAGAAAACCCAGAGAAGGATCTCCTCATCCTTTGTCTTTTTTGTAATTCAGGATCTGGGCTTCTTTCAGTTAAATAGCCTTTTCCACTCTGTAGCTCATCTTTTGACAGTCTGAGGGTGTCTTGATAGAAAAGTTCCTAATTTAAGCGTAGTCCAGTTTGTCAGTCTTTTGTTGTGTTGCTAGTATTTTTGATGGCCTGTCAGGCTTCCACTGCAGAAAGAGTTGT